GTGTCTCCTTAGAGAAAAAGCAGTATGTTAGTAAACTCTGGGCCTTCACCTTCCCTTCTGTCTGTCTAAAACCTACCTCTATTTAGGGTCATAACAAATCTTACTTCCATAAAATCTTCCGTGATTACATTCATCACATTTTCTCTCTCCCTATTTTGTTTGTTTTTCCTGAAAGAGATTGCCTGTGCAGGAGGTGATATAAAAGAATAATTAAATATCCATCTTTGGAGTGAGACATATCTGAGTTTGAATCTTGACTTTGACAGTTACTAGTCACATGTGTTTGAACAAATTATATTCCCTCTGTAAGTTTTAATTTCTCCATCTTTAAAGTGAAGATAATCATATCTACTTAATGATTTTTTTGGTGGAAATTTAAAATCTCAAAGCAGGTGAAGAGTTTAATAGAGTACCCAGAAAAAAATCATAAATGCTAAGTACATGGAAATTAGTATTTTACCAATTTTTTTTATATAACACACATTGCACCTTTTCTCTGTACATGGCATAAGTGCTACCAAGCTATCTAACAAAATAGGTAATAGCTTGAAAGATTTAGAATGACAGGCCTGTATTAATATGATACTGTATAAACTCCTGGTGTTAGATTTTAAAAAGCAAAGGTGATTATAGAATGAGGGGCCATTTGACTTAACATTTCATTTGAAAAGGACTAAACCTCTTTAGTTGACTATTGCTTCTGTATGAGTCAACAGAGTGTCATAGTTGCCTAAAATGCTGAGATGTTAAAAAAGTTTTCATCAAGTCTATCCCTGTCTTCTAATTTTGTTTACTGTGTCTTCTGTCATCCAGTCAGTTTAAATGCTATCAGCTTATTAATAGGTGATTTATAATATCAGGGAAAGTTATATTCTACTCTGTGACAGTAAAGATGGCCCATCTGTCTTCCAGACCCAATTTCTCTTCCTCCTTTACCCATTTCCCAGTCTTCCTTACAGTTAATGTAGTCTTGTGGTTTTAGGAGCTAAAGTGATGATCAATGACACAGTTCCCTATGAACTCCCATGTGCTCTGTGCTCTTCTGTTTGCCCCAATTTGATGTAGTTGAGCACAAGTACCCTAAAGTCATGTTTTAAAGATGGTAGAACTGCAAGTAGCAATAAATATGGTTCCCTATGCCAATGCTTAATGGGCCACCTGCCACTCAGGAATGTCCATTTTAAATTCATATGAGCCAGAAATAAGCTTCCATTGTGTTTAAACCATCATCATCTTTTGTGTTGTTCTATAATACCTAGCATACCCAAACTGATTCAACTGGTCTATATATATATATATATATATATATATATATATATATGTAATTTTTGTTTGTATGAGTGGGTCAGAGTTTAGGAGGGATATTGGCATGTTTGAGAAGTTTCCAGAACAATTTAAGCTACTATGATACTTAAGAATTTAAGAATCACCTAGATGATTTTTTTAAAATATCCATGATTTAAAATCTCATAGGTTATTACTCTGTGGGTCCTACATTAAAAGCCACTAGTCTACCAATCCAAAAACGGGCATCTGGGATGAATAGGCACTTCTCACATGAAGAAGTACAAACAGTAAATAAATATATGCAAAATTGTTCAACATCACTGGTCATCCAAGAAATGCAAATTAACATCTCACTCCAGAAAGAAGGACTATCATAAGGAAAAAAATAAATAAATAAAATGAGATGAAAAAAAAAAAAAAGAAATCAACCAATAACAAATGTGGGCCAGGCTGTGGGGGAAAAAGGAACCCTTCTCCACTGCTGGTGAGAATGTAGACTGGAGCAACCACTGTGGAAATCAGTGTGGAGATTCCTCAAAAATCTAAAACTAGAGGGTCCATTTGACCCAGCCGTGCCCCTTCTTGGTGTCTTCTCAAAAGAATTAAAAGCCTCATACCACAGCGATATATGCATACCCATGTTTATAGCAGCATAATTTGTAATAGCTAAATCTTGAAAACAGCCCAAATGCCTAACAACCAATGAATGGATAAAGATGTCATTTTTTATACAATGGAGTACTACTCTACTATAAAGAAGGATAAACTTGAGACATTTTTAGGTAAACAGATACACTTTGAGAATATAATTTTGAGTGAAATAGAGCACACCTGTTTAAATATCACATTGTTTCTCTTGTGTGAGAAACCAAAAGGGTAAATAAGGATCAAAATGGATGACAGATATTGGAAAGTTGGAAGAAAATGTACAATTGGGAAGGGGAACAAGGGAGGGGAGAGGGGGAGGGGAAGGAAGGAATAGGGATAAAAAAATAAAAAAGAATGGAAAGAAAACAATAGAAACAAAGTTTTGTAAATGGAGAGGGGAAAAGGGATTGAAGGGAAGGGGGGGAAAATGAATTAAGATACATTATACACATGTACAAATTCCCTATGATGAATATGATCAAAAATGTACCAGTAAGTGCCGGGTATGGTGGCATACATCATACATCTGTAATCCCAGCACTCAGGAGGCTGAAGCAGGAGGATCGCTGTGAGTTCAAGACCAGCCTGAGCTACATAGTGAGTCCAAGGACAGCCTGAACTACAGTGAGACCCTGTCTCAAAAAACCAAAAAAAACAGTACCAATAAAATTAATTGTAAAAAAAAACAAGCCTAGAACCGTGGCCTTGGAGAATGATTGAATGAGATGGGGATGTTTTTCCTAGAAAATAGAAACACTTTGATGGCTGTCTTCAAATATCTGAAGGGCTGTCAGGGGAAAGGGATTTACATTTATACTGGAAAACAATGACCTAGATCAATGGGTAAAAGTCAGAGATTTGGATCATAGGAAAAGATCATAAAATTGTAGTTTCTCAAAAGTATCCCTCCTACTTTTAAAGTAAGGTCTTCTCTGTTTTGTGAGATTATGTAATAGTATCAATGCTATAGTATTCTTCACAATCATATTTTATCTAAACCTCATAACCACATTGTGGAACACGTCCTCTTTTATAGATTAGTAAACTAAGACCCATGGTTAAACTGCCTTCCCATTCTCAAAGAGCTGGGAAAGAACACAAGTAAAACTTTACTGCTCATCTTCACACTCAGAGACAATTCTTTTTACTGCCACTAATTAGGTGCCTAGTAATAGTTCCTCCCAAACATAAGATTCCACAAAAAATCTTGGGAGCTCTTCAATAGCAGAGATGTTACTTGCTCTTTTTTTATTTATATAGTCACATCACCAAGCACAAAGAAGGTGCTTATTAAATACAGAACTGACTTTAAATAGTGCCACCCTTCTAAAATAAGTTAGAAGTTAGCCTTTTCTGTCTACTTTGTAGTCACACAAAACTTCTGCTGTCATAAATAACATTGCATACTACAGAACCAATAAAAAGAAACATAGCTCATGTTTTCCAAACAGAGGGCACAAAAAAGCAAGAGTCAGATACTTGAGTCAATAGTAAATAAAAAAATCTGTGTGAGTTTCACCAAGAAATTACAGCTCTGTTTTCAGTGTGACTCTGTAGTGTACAATGCACAGGGTTGGACTTCAAGAGACCTTGTGTTGAGTTTGAGCTCTGCCACTTGCCTTCTTTGAGGACTTGGAAAGTGACTCAGGCTCTGCATGATTTGACATCCTCACCCAGGAGCTAGACCATGATTATCAGTGGCAGTGACACCACAAAAGAAGCCAGTGAGACTTTTTATGCTTCCTGAATCTGATTGTGCCTTTATCTCTAAGGACCACATCTCTGTAGGAAATAGAGTCATGTATCTAACAAAACATTCAAACATGAAATCAGTAAAATTAGACTGTAGGAAATAGTATGAGATTACCATCTCAGTCTCTGTTTTTAAAAATTCAAAGAAAAATAAAAGAGATAAAGGGGACACATATAAAATATGGACATGGCATGGCCAGGTCTCCTGATATCAGGAGGAAAGTACTAAGATGGTCCCAAGGCCCAGAGCTGCACTAAGATAGAGAGGTTCAAACTCTGCACAGGGCTCTCTGATAAATATTCTCAGACTGAAATTCTCAAGAGCTGAAAAGATCAAATTTACACCATGGAGGTAAATGTATTTACAGACTGAGACGCAGGGGAAAGGGAGGTTATTGTTAAGTGACTTTCAGTGTGGGATAATGAAATGGTTGGTGCTGATGGCCGACAGCTGCATAACAACAGGAATGTACTTAATGCCAAGAAGCTTAAATGGTGTGCTTCAAATGGTTAAAATGATAAGTTTTATGTATATTTTATTTATATTTATAGTTGTAATTATAAAAAATAATTTTAGTTGTTAAGTGTTGTAAAACAAAAAAATTAGAAGGTGATCAACCAATGTCATGGCCTTCTTATGTCTATTTTCAATAGTTTAGAATACAAACTCTGAAATCAAACAATAGCTTCAGATCAGGGCTTCTAAGCTGTACCTTGTGTTAGTACTGTAACATTAGTCAAGTTACAAAATTGTCCCTCAGTTTCCTCATCTATAAAATAAGTAAATTATAGTATGTAAGTCATAGGATTGTTGAGAAGGGTAAGTTACATAATCCATAGAAATTGCCTAGTACAAAGTTACGAAGTATGTCCTCAGCCGCTCTTAGCTATAATGTTATTATTATCATGTTATTGCTGTTGACAACTATATTCAGACATTACTGCTTAACATAAACATGAAAGGTTTCAAGAAAACCCTAGTGAGGAGGGAAAGGTAAAGAGTGCACATTTAAATCAGCAGGAAATCTATTAAATATCTATTATAATTCAGTGCTGTTCTAGGTACTGGGGAAAAGAGAACAGGTCAAACACAAAAGCATGCCATATGCTCTAAAGAAGTTAACAGTCTCTCTGGAAAAGAAGCAGAAGCTGACACACAAAGCTGTTCGGTAATGGCAAGTGTGTAACAATACCCTGTTCTTTCACTAGGACAACAGGCTAGCATAGAAACCCTTCCCTATAACATGCTTCACTGTTCACAGGCACATATGTTGGGGTCACCTCCACTTAGGTTCAGATCTTACTTCTATGGATTCAAGAAGCACAACCTCTCTGAACCAGTGTCCTCATCAGAGCAATAGAGACAGGAGCAGTAACTACCTTTAAATGAGATTAATGTACACATGTTAACAATTTCAGACAGGACCTAGCACAGAGTAAGTCTTCCATAAAAATCACCTTATTTAATCAACATCCCAAAGTAATGACCACCACTTATTCTTGTCTTATGTAAGACAGCCAGGGCTCCAAAGTGCTAAATGACTCCCTCAAAGCCCAGCTAGTGCATGACAGAGCCAGGAGTCCAGACCAAACCATGAGCCTCTTAATCCAGTGCACTTTCTGCTGTAGCAAAGCCATCAATGGAACAATGCTTCATGAATGAAGTAAAAATTCAGAAAGGTAGAATATTTTTCAAATCAATTTTATGAGGAACTAACCGCCTCACACTGTTTTAAACATAACATAATTTATCCTATTTAATCTTTACAATAGTCCTCTGATACATTCATATTTACCCATTTTTACAGATGAGAAAACTGAAGCTTGGATTTTTTTTTAAAAGGCTTTTAAGAAAATAAGTGTTATACCCAGTTTTCAAGGGATCATTAAGAATAATTTGATTTTGTTTAAGCAAATTTTATATTTAGGAGAGAATTACAAATTTCAAACCTAAAAAAATAAACTTGCTAAATGTCACAAAGTTAATAAGAGGTGAAGTTGGGATTTGAACCCAGCTCTATCTGATTTCAAAACCATGGTCCTTAGCCAAAGAAGGGAGCCTGCCAGGTGAGGGGAAGAACATGAATTCCTTAAATATTTTTTGGGTAAACAGCAAAGACTGGGTCTAAAATAAACAGTGCAAATAGAGGAAGATGGAGTACAGGAGGGGAGGAGACCAGAGGAACAGAGAGAAATGGAAAGGGAAACATCAGCAGATGAAGGCAGGTGGGCTGCCTCACAGAAGAGGGTTGATTTGCTTTGTTTTGTTTAAATGAGACTTGCACTATGACATTCCCTTGATTTCCCTGAGTTAGGAAGTAATGTTCATCCTTATAGATCTAATTTTTTCCTAAGAATCGGTTTGTAATTATTGTAGTTAATTCCTGCCAGATAATTAACATCCAGTGGTATCCAGAAAGAGTTTGTTTACCTCATCAAAGGAAATGCCTGAATCCTAAATCTAAATGGGACCTTACTCACTACAGAATCTCTGATGGTGGTAAACAAGGCCATAATGGTGCCCTTGACAGCCAGAATCTTTGACATTACCTACTAACAACAAGCACACTAAGATAAACGTTCAGGAGGGTCACCAAAAGCCACTCTGAAAATATATTTAAATAAAAGGGTCTACAGGTCTGTGAGTTCATCTTTATAGAGGTAAGACTTTGAGGGAAAAGACTAGACTTTGAATATCTTTGATTTAAATTAAACTGAGTAACCTAAGTACAATTTGTTGTAAAATACAGAAGTTATATGTAAGTGGAAATAATTATAGATAACTGTTTGATAGAGGCAAGTTATTAACCATTTACCTGTGAGTCCTTTTAAGAACCATTTTTTTATCTGACCAAGCTGTTTTACAGATTGATTTTTTTAAACACATTAGGGAAAGAAGCCAAAGCCAGTCTTCTCTATAACCCTGAGAAATGACAGTAGGTGCCTTGGAGACTGTTGGTCATTCGGCCTCAGACAGACCTTGTGTTCTTTATGAGAATGCTAGAGGGCACACAGAGTACCACACTCTGCTCACTCTTTGTCCCATTCCCCAGCAGTAACAGCACCAAAAAGCTTCCCAAACTCTGAAGTTCTAGATCTTACAGCTGAACCTCACTGTCTTAAGTAACTGTGATGAGATTAAATGGAAGTTGTTTCTGAGGCTATGCAAGTTGATAAATTTCTTCTCAGCAAGCCCTGTGGTAAAGTATCATCAGATAACCATTCTTCCTGTGCTAGCACATATGACATTGTGTTAGGTGAAATAAGCTAGACAAAGAAAGATAAATTCTCCATGTTCTCACTCATATGCAAAGCTTAATCAATTTATCTCATAGAAGTAGAGAGAACAGTGGTTACCAGAGGATGTGAAAGGCAGAGGAGATAGATGTTGGTATTGACGTCAAAAATATAGTTAGATAGGAGGAATAAGGTCTAGTGTTCTACTGCACAGAAGGGTAACTGCAGTTGACAGCAATTTATTGTATATTTCAAAATAGGTAAAAGAAAGAATTTTTAATTTTCTCAGCACAAGGAAATGATAAATATTTGAGCTAATGGATATGCTAATTACCATGATTCCATTATTATACATTATATATGTATATCAAAACAACACACAGTAAGTATGCATAGTAACACACCCATAAATATGTGTAATTACTACAAACCAATTAAAAATAATTTTTAAGGACCGGGGATTTAGCTCAGTGGTTTCACCGCCTGCTGTGCAAGCACAAGGACCCGAGTTCAATCCCCGGTACCAAAAAAAAAAAAGAAGTAAAAAATAATTTTTAAAAAGACCATTCCTTGTAGAGAAGACAAGTGGCCCAAATATAGTTACTAGTGTTATTAAAGTAAAACCTTTCTTTGTTCATTCATGGATAAGTATTATGGTGGTCAAACAATAAAAGAGTATTTCTGCCTGTGTTTCTTTGTTATCTCTTTGGACCAGTAAATTAGAATAATCTACTTCCTGGTAAAAACACAAATCCTGAAAATTTGAATTGCAGATTCCAGAGCTTTCTGAATGTGATAACTAGATGGCTTCTGGTCAATAGAATTAGGCAAGAGAAATCTGGGTATTAGATACTGGATCTAGGTTTCTTTGGAAAGGGTCTTACAGTCTAATTGGTTACATATTATGATCCCAAGTCAAACCACTATAAGTTAAACAAAACCTTGGCTAATTAGCAATGTAAATTACATTCTATGTATTCCACTTTTAGAAGCTTGAATATACTTCTTTTTTGTTGTTGTTTTTTTTGTTTGTTTATTTTTGTACGGGGATCAAACTCTGAACCTTGTGCTTCTGAGGCAGGCATGGTGCCACTGAACTAAATTCCTGGCCCTTTGAATATACTTCTTTATATTTATTAAACACATAAAGCTTAATAATATAAAAGTTGTAGCATAAATGTTCCTTTTAGGAGATTTTTCTGCCTAAGATGAATTGGCTGAGGAATCTCTAAGTGAATTTTCAGTGATTTTTGGCCTAAAGATGTACTTTTCTCTGGATTAATATCCCTGTGGGAAACATGAGACTTCTTCATGTTGAAAAACTTCTTAACCAGGCTCAAAATTGGAATATCTTAAATTGTGTAAACAATAACCATAACTTGCCATATTCAGGGCCTATTCTATATTTACATAACAGTTCCTAAAGAAGAAACTACATGGTACTGGACATGAAATATATATGAGAATATTGTTTAGCATGTGCAGTTAATTCTGAAACCCAGACTCAAGGATTGACCCATTAGCTTCTATTGGTAAATTCACTATGTTTTTCCTAGTCAATGACATGAATATTTAAAAATGTGTATAAAAAAAATGTGTATAGAGTATATCTATACATGTAACCATGTATATATGGTACATGTATAGTGTGGAATTTGAGTGAGAAACCAAACTTATTATTCTTTTTCATAATGATTTGGATCTTTAAAAAAAACTCACCTTGGGCCGGGGATTTAGCTCAGTGGTTTCACCACCTGCTGCGCAAGCACAAGGACCCGAGTTCGATCCCCGGTACCAATAAATAAATAAATAAATAAAAATTTTAAAAACTCACCTTTTCAACGTTGTTGTAAAATTATACAAAGAAAAAATAATTTGATGAAATCAGAAAGACCAGTCCAAGAGTTTATTCAATCACTGTGGGCCTATTATGTGCCAATAACTGTACTACATTCTGGGAATATAAATATAGTTGCTATTCTTATTTTTGAAGAGTTTTGTTACTGGACCAACACATATGCACATGCGTCCCACAAAGAATAGTATGGCTAACAAAGGTGCCATAAACTATTCACTGGGAGCATGGAGAAAGAGGAAGAGGAGCAAAACTTCTCAGACCTTTAGTCACCAATGTAGGGAAATGACAGAGCTGTATCCTAATCAAAGGATACAATATATTGGCCAAAATTCTGAGGTGAGCCTTGGAAATTTATAAGACCAGTACCTCTGTGTTAGAGCTCAGGAACAAAGAAGTCATCTGACTCACTAAGGTTGTATGTGTTAGGAATTTGGAACAAGTAGATGAGATTAATTGAGAAATGCATGCAAATGCATTTAATTGCATTTATAAGAGCCTGTTCATCAATGAAGATACTTTGTAAACAGATATTGCTCACTACAGAGGAACCCAAGGCAAAAGAGGAGTATAATCTTTTCTAACTAAAGAGACTTTAGGTCCAAAAGGATCAAAAAATCAAAGACTGTGATTTGGCTCTGTATCTTTTATGTCTGTGATGAGTTCAAGGTCTGTACTGTTCTAATTATTAATTACAGTGACATTTGGCCAAGAAATTATATGTAGAGCATTGGATGGTGCCCCAAATTATATAATCCTTTACACATGTTAATCAGTTTAGCAATTAGTGGTTAATTGGTTTTATACTATTTAATTATGCAACTACATTCATTCAGGAATTGTGTTATATTATTTTTTATAGTTTCTCTTCTATCAAAGATAATTGAATAATATGCCAGTCCCTCTCCATTGGCTACCCTTAGAAAAAGTTTGAATTATTGACTCACATAACCAGTGTCAAGATATTATTGTTTCCCTGGTGATAGCTGTTTAAGATGCAGAGATAGTATCTAAGATAAAATAAAACAGCCCGGGAAAGAGCAGGCCAAGAATACAAGAACTTCCTCATACAAATCTGGATTTATGGTTTCTCTTGAAAAGATAATAGCTCTAACAAGGCCAGGTCCACATTTCCAAATGATAACAACTGGCAAGATCTGAGGAGCAGCTGCCCCTTCTAGATGATATGATAACTCGCCAGCTCACCTCTGTCCTCACAAGCCAAAATTAGTATTGCTGACCTGGTCCTGAAGACATTTGAGTTTATGATCCCTGGTATGTTCTTATAAACGCAAACCCAGAGTTCCAGCAAGCATCACAGATGGTTAATGTTCTTAATCTTTAGAGAAAGGAGTTATTTTTATTACTTTGAAATAGACTCCAGAGCCTTTTTTAAATGTTTTAGTCCTTTGAATTTTAGCCAGAAATAGGAATGCTGACAGTCTGAATTTGTTTTAGTGAGCTACCTCATTCCATCAATTTTTCTTTGGGCATACTGTATAGAGTGGATTTGAGAATATGTAGACTCTAAATTCTAATTTCTATTACCAAATCCATAAGTGTCTGTCCTACCTTTCTGCATAATCAAGAAGGAAAGTTAGAATTAGCTTATTGGTGAGGTTGAAGAATAACTTTATAAATGGCAATAACCACTTGATTGTCTGGTTTATCATCAAAGCCAGACAACCCATGACATTCAGTTATTAATGTTATGACGTATATGGTATTGGGAAAATTAATGAAGTAGGTATTTCAAGTAAAACCCAGTTAGTAAATGAAAAATATTTCTACACTATTATCTTCAAAAAGAAGTAAACAAAAAAATTATTAATTGGTAGAAAATGTACGAATTAGTAAAGTCAAAAAGAATAACAATCTTATAACTAAGTATAGAGGGTACTAGAGTCATTGTCATGACATTAGTAACACTGTCTATCTGAATTAAAAATCTGAATGCCTTTGGGGTTCCATAAAAGTGAGATCACTGGACAAAACAAACCCTGTTCAAAGAGCCTTTCAGGATTAAGAACTTTAGACTCTCCATTACTTTTGTTCTTACAAAATTCTCCTTTATTTTTGTTCTTACTTCCATTTCAGAAAACAAAAGCAACACAAATCCCTACAAAGCAGGTATTCTAGCTTTAAAGGATAAGAAATGTTGTTTAGTTTTTTCCACCTAGGGACTTGCCCACATCCCTGGATGCACTGTAAGATATCAAAAGCACAAACATATAATTTGTGTGTTTGTATAATCAAGTGATTTTTATGTATAAATACTAGAAGCAAATCAAGAAAAATATCAAAATACAAGAGAATTTGCGATCCTTGAATATGTCCATATGAAGGCTTTGTAAAATGATAATATTTCTCTTTGGACGCAACAGTTTCTGTGGCATGTGTATGCCTGACCCAGACATGCCTTCTACATAAGTTTCTCTCTCCATTTAGTGTTATCTTCATTCAACAGACAGGAACTGGGAAGTTCGCTCGAGCATTTTAGTGACCTAAAGTTGGGTAGCAAGAGCCTAGGGGCTTTTTCTGAGTCATACGGAAATTGCTTCAGGGTAACAGAGCCTTACAAAATTATCAAGTATGAGTTGAAGGTGACACCAAAGAAGAAAGATTCTCACTGTTTTCCAGGGTTATGGCCTTTTATCTTCTCTGCTTCAGTTCATTTTGTGACTGTAATGCCTACCAATTATAGGGGTCATTTAAACTCTGAAGAGAAATAAAGAATAATTGCACCTTGCCAAGCAAACCTAGGCTCAGAGCTCTGATCACACTTCAGAAGAGAACATCTCTTAGCAAGATTATGCTCACCTTTATTGGAGACTCAGGACTGATCTGTCAATAAGAACAATGGTGTGTGACTCCAAGGCATCTCAGAGGGTCTTCCAGATGATTGGTTTCTCCCACCTTTTCCTTCATCTGGAATATGTAAGGGCCAATCAGAAAACTCACATCACTTTAAAAGAGTAAACTGAAATGAGAATGTTACAAAAAGAAAAAGATTGCTAACTTTAACACACACACCCAGAGCCAACAGGATGGGGACACTTATGATAACTAAATTTCCTGATGCCAATGGTGACATGCCACCTACTCAGTACCAGGTAACTGCAGCCCTCTGGTCAGGAGAGAAGGGCCAAAATAGTCTGCCAGACTGCCAATGCTTCAACAGTGACACCATGTGGCAATGACAGCAACCCAGGCTTCCAAAGTTAACTCAGTAATTTCTAGGTTTCTTTTTTTTTTCTTTATGGGAATCTTCGGATTGAATGAGATCTTTGTCATCATGGGACAAAGCATACAGATAAAAGAAACGTCTTTTCACAATAGATAATAAGATGGAGACTCAATTAGCTAATTTGAATATAAAAAGAAAATGTGATTGTATATTGTACTTCAGTTGGACAGATAATGGCAGATTCACAGAACCCAGGACACCTCGAAACCGAAGTGCCAAACAGCAGACCATGCTTTCTACAAGAAACCAGGTGTGTAGTGAACAATAACAGGGATCCATGCTATTTAGGAGATGAAGATAAGAGGACCCCTGAGATCAGATCATATAAAGTGACCAAGGCAGGCAGCCAGCAGTCAACCTTAGAGGTTACTGGTAGAAAGAGGAAGCCCTTTACAAGATTGAGCCTCCAGAAGAGACTTCAGTGTTGTGTGGTCAGGAAGGGCAACAGTGACAGGAGCCAATATGGGTCTGGACCAGATTAAGCTGTTAAGACATAAACTTCAAAGTCATGGTTAGGAACATACCTGTTATAACAAGGGCAGGTTGTGGCTCCAGAAATAAGGTACAGGAGACAGTCATTCATCCACTCGTCAAATATGTAGTGAGTCCTACTCTATGCCAGGTACTACTCTAGGCACTAGGCACATAGCAGCATAAAAAACACTCTGTTCCCAAGGAGTTTGTACTCTATCTGGGGAGACAGACAATAAATAAGAAAATATGTCACAAATAGCAATTAATATAACAGAAAATTAAACCAGGGAAGAGAGACAAGAAAGATGGAGCCAGAGGTAAATTTTAAAGAAGATGGCCAGGTCTCTCTGAGCAGGTGGCATGTGAGCAAGGGCACAAAGGAAGCAAGAAAGTGAAGCACACAGCCATTTGGGGAGAGGCTGGACAAGGAAACAGAGGGAGCAAGTGGCATAGGATCCATAGCAAAATGGGTCTGCAAAAGAACGGGCAAACAGGCCAGCATGGATGGGGAGAACAATATGAGGGTCTGAGGAGGAAAAGGTAGGCCTGAGAGTTGTGAGGCCACATGAAGGACCTCATTCTAAGCTCCATTTGAAAGTGCTAGAGGCTTGAAATGACACTGTGGGGTCCACAAGGGCAGAAGTGAGCAGATGGGTGAGAAGATTAATAAACTAATAATTCACCCAGGCAAGAAAAAATGACAGCCAAGTTCTGTGTCTATTGTGAAGGCAGAGAAAAGTGACTGGATTCTGGATGTGCTTGAAAGGTAAAAAGGATAATTTCATGATAGACACGTTGTGGAATATGAAAAAAAAGGGGAAAGACACAAGCATGACCCCAAGCCTTTTGGCCTGAAACACTAACTACATTTTTTAAAATTACTTTTATTGGTACATTTTAGGTATACAATATAATGACATTCATCATTGGAAATTTGTACCTTTACATAATCTCTCTGGGTTCTTATTATTCCCCCTTCTCCTGCCCTCCCTTTAACCCCTCCACCCCTCCTTATTTACAAAGACTTTGTTTCCATTTTTTTCTCATATTACTTCCATTCCCTTCTTTCCACTTTGCCCTTTTTCTTCCTAATTCACATTATCTATTATACCTTTTAGTCTTTATTTACAATTTCAATTTCTCATACTAGAGAAACTATTTGGTATTTACACATGTGTGTTCCATTTATTTGACTTAAGAGTATTGCCTCAATGTGCATCCATTTAGCTACAAATGTCTCTAATTTCTCATTTTTATGGCTGAGTAGTACTCCATTTTATTTTTAAAAAACACATTTTCTTTATCCATTCTCCATTTGATGGGCAATTGGACTCCTTCCAAGCTTCAGATATTACAAATTCTGCTGCTATGAATATGAGTGCATATATATCACTGTGGCATGATTCTTTTAACTCTTTGGGGAAGATACCAAGCAGGGGGATAGCTGGGTCAAATGGAACTTCCAGTTCTAGTTCTTTGAGGTATCTCCATACTGATTTCTACACGGGTTGCACCAGTCTACACTCCCACCAGCAGTGGAACAGGGTTCCTCTTTTCCCACAGCCCTGCCAGCATTTGTTATTGGTTGATTTCGGGATAGTAGCCATTCTTTCTGGAGTGAAGTGGAATCTGAGCTTTGTTTTCATTTGCATCTCTCAAATGACCAGTGATGTTGAACATTTTTTCATATGTTTCTCTGCTATTTCTACTTCTTTGTCTGAGAAATCTCTGTTCATTTCAGATGCCCATTTTCAGATTGGGTCTTTAAATTTGGGAGGTCTGTTTTTTTAAGTTCTTTATAGA